TTCTCTCTGTTCCTCCCTCCGGCGTTTTCCCTCTGTTTCCGGCGATGCAAGCAGTCGGCGGTGAAGAAGCAAAGCAGCGGCAGTAGTCGGGAGCTTGTGGCAGTGGTGGTGCGTGGAAACGGCGGTATCGACGGAGCTCGGTAGTGGCGTCTCTCCTCCGTCCCCGATGTGGTAGCTTTTCCGGCAACATTCTGGCTTGGTAGCAGCGGGCAGAGCCACGGGTGGTGGTGTGCCTGCCGTTCCACCCGCGGCTTTAGCAGCTTGAAGAAGACGAAGAAGAAGAGATGTGAGTTGTGCCTTGTTGTTGTTGATTAGTTTAGATGTTAATTAGATTATGTTTCATAAAAGTCATTAAGAAATGCCTTAGCTTGTTGGTAATGAAGGTATTTGGTGATGAGAAGAGCTAGGGTTCAAATCCCTTTTTAGCCTTTATAATTAATTTATAAGCATGTGTGTTAGCTTAGTTAGTTGTTTAATAGATTTATGATGCTTAAGTTACCTAAAGAGATGCTTAGCTTAGTTGGTTAGGATATGTTTAGCTTTGGGAAAGATTTAGGGTTTTAAATCCCTTAATATCTTGTAATGTTTTAATAGTTGTTAACTAGTAAAAGCTGATGTGATTCACAGGTTCCCGATAGATTGGCTTTATAAGTTGAGCCTATGTTGGCGTTGTTTTTGGATGGTTAAGCGAAGGAGGTAACCCATGCTTTACAAAACCTATTTTCTAGGCTTCTACTTGTGATTCTTGTGTTGATTTGTGAGATTTGATGCATTGTCTTGTGGTGATGTATGTTTCGAGCTTGTTCTTAGGGTTCTTGAATGCCATTGCTTGGCTATTTCTTGGCTTCAAGTCATATTGTTGTTTTGTGTGAGATTTTGGGTGTTTTGGACTTGAATTTGGACTTGTTGTTGAAAATCCCCGAAGGGAATTGTTGGTGAACAGGAGTGTACCCGTGGGCGGAACGGCGGCCAGAGGCCTACCCGTCGCCCCACCCGCGGGGAACCGGTGTCTCATGGGTTATGTACCCGCGGGTGGTTGTCCACTCGTGGCCCCACCCACGGGGAACGTTGTTGGATGATGGCGGGGATTTGTTCCTCGTGATTCTTTTGACTCGGTATTGATGTTTTGACCTCCCACTGTTGTTTTAATGGGCTATTTGTGAGTCTTCTTGATGTTTCGTATGTCTTGAACGGCACGTTAGGAATCCATGTAGGATTTGGTGTCTTGAATCGTGCAAAGGGTCCAACTTTGTGATTCGTTGGGCTAATGTGAGTCTTGAATGTTCTTTGGAACTAATTTTGGTTTACCCGTTTGATAAGCATGCTAGTTTGATGTTGAAATGCTAGTGTGTGTGGTTTGTCCCTTCGTATTGAGATTGCCAACTTGTGTTGACAATCATTTGGTGTTGGATTGGAATCCTTTGCTGTTGAGTATGGCCTCATGTCTTTATTGTGATCCCTTGGTTGATTCCTATGATGTGAACGTATGTAATTCGTTGTACCCCTTTGATTGATACATGATTAAGGTTATAGTTGAGTCTTGATCTTCTTGGTAATGATGAGGTCCTCGTGTGGCCATGATTGAGATTGGTGGTTTATTACTTGAGCTTTGCTCACGAGATTGGCAGTTTTGTGATATGATAATGAATGGTACCCTCGTGTACTGAGAGATCAGTTGAAATGTTGGCGGTGTAGGCGGGGGGTGACGGCCCTCAGAGGCAAAAGGTTAGACTCAGAAGTACAGGGTGGCACTAGGAGGTAAAGGTTGGAACCGAAATAAGGCCGGGGGTAGCCATAAGGTTGGAACAGGGCATAAGGTTGGAACTATGATACTTGTGACATGTAGTTGTCACTGTGGCATGTAGTTGCCACTGTGTGAATGTGATTCCTTGCTTATGAGCATGTCTTGATGTATTCTACTTTGTGGTCAATAGAATGCATCCTGAGTTGTTTTTCTCTTATGTTTGATGTCTTGTCGTTGTTATGAGGATGGTAATTCCCTTTTCTTTGAGAGTGTTCGATGAGTCTTTGAAGTTGACTTCTCTCTATGGTTTTGAACTGATATATATTGTATTTCGTTTCAAAATGGTTTTAATACATACTTATCTATATATGCTATTTAACGCGTATTGATGGGTTACCAGCAATATTCGCTGACCGGGTGTTATCCCCATGTTATGTTTTCCTTGTTCTACAGGTTTTGAGTAGATGTTCGAGAGCGCTAGACATGGATCGCTAGATAGATTAGCTGTCCTATGTAGAAGTTATGTTTTGTTGGCCTGTGAGCCTAGTTAGCGGCCTATGCGCCTTGACACTTTATGACTTGTTTGAATTGATAGTTTTTCCCGCCTGTGCACCTATGTCTGAGATAGGTGTGGCATAACATACTTGATTTTATATAGCTTCCGTTGTTTTATGTCTTGATGATTAGATGTTTTACCTTTGAAATTAAGTTTTAAAATGTGGTAAAAATCGGGGGTGTTACAACTCATCCTTCGACTCCTCGGCATCCTCGTCCGAGTCTTCCTCATCTCCACCACGGCTAGAACCGGCCTCCAACCTATCTAACCTCTGATTGACAGTGACAAACTGAGCCTTCATGAGAGAGATGCCTTCCTCAATCATCTGGTTCTGTTGTCGAAGGAGGGTCACCACACGCTCCTTGTGTGTCATTGCATCATGCTCCTTTTTGGTTCTCACTTCCTTCCTCCTTACAGTCTCTTCACTTTCGGAGTCACTCTCCTCGACCTCCTCTGCTTCTTCTCCTTCTTCTTCCTCTTCTCTCTCTTCTTCGCCTTCATTCTCAGTGTCTCCACCCAAGCTCTGTACCGCTAGGTTCAACTTTCCCACAGGGATCTCAATCTCTTCAACCAACGAACTCCTCTCGACTGGGGCTTTCCTTGCGACCTCCTCAAGAGTGATGTAGTCACCATCATCCAGCTGAAACAAGTTGCAACTGCGGAGATTTGTGGCATCCAGAACCATCTTGCCCACCGGCTTAGGCACACATCCTTCAACACTCACCCCTTTCCTAACGAAGATCCAACTTAACACCATGCCATAAGGCAAACTCTTGCGGTTATGATCTCGACAATAGACCATATGTTGCAACATCAACGAAGGCAAGTTGAACTTCACCTTGAATTTCAGACAAAAAGCAAAAGTGCACTGTAGCTTACCCAACAAACGACTCTTAGGGTGTGTTTGGTTCGCACATAGGAATCAGAATCGGAATGGGTATCAAATACTTGGTAATGGTAATGGGTTTTGGTGAAAGTATTTAACATGTTTGGTAGTAGGGTGGAATGGGAATGGTTACTAATAATAGTGCTTGAGAATGAATAAGGTAATAAAACCCTTATTTTATTTGGGTATGGGTTTTTCAATTGATGGGGTATTCGAAACCCATAGTAGTGTTCTAAAAACCTATCAACCAAACAACAACAATCACTTTCATACCCATTCCTATGGGCAAAACCCACCAACCAAACACACCCTTATTGTTGTTAGGCAACAAACAGTCCGAAACGAGCATGACCAAAATCTTTTGCTCTGCGGAAAGCCACTTCCTCTTTGGCCTCGTGGCCTGGGTGAACCCACTAGTTCTTCCCAACAGATAACTCATATAATTCCAATAACTCATGCTGCTTGTCTCAATCCAAGAGTCACCACTATACTGCGACACTCCCGTAGTTGTCAAACTCAAAAGCTGAGCCAACCGCTTTTCGGTCAAGACAATTTTCACACCTCCCACCTAAGAGGTAACTTCCAACCTCCCACCATCTTTGGTCACACTCATGTGATGGTAGAATTCTTTTACCAAACTCGGGTAAGTCGTGGTCCTAATGGCGAGATACCCATCCAACAATCCTTGGTAACTCAACAACTCCAACAAAGAATCCGAAAAGGAGTCGGGATCAAAAGCTTTACCTTCCAAGACTAGGTAATGGGCATCCACCCATTTCACCATTCTCGCATATTTAGACCTCCTAGGCACGATTCTGAGATGTCCGAAGACCGAAGGTAGGCCCAAAATTCCTCTCCTTCTCTTTTCCCTTTTTCCTCCTCTTTCTCAGCTTCTCCGCAGTTCCGGCGGCAGCAGCACGGCGGCGAGGCCTCGGCGACGGAGGACGATGGCAGTTGGCGATTGACAGGGACCGGTCAGCGGCGGGTGACTCGTGGTCAACGGGCGAAGGAGACGCAGCGGGGTGGAGTCCTCAGCAGCAGCTCACGGGTGGGAGAAGAAAAGAGGGAAGGGTTTTGGGAAATTTTGGGAAATTTTGGGGAAAAGAAGATTTTAATTTGGGGATTTTTGGGGTAAGTTGGAAATTATTGGTTAAAAGGGATTTAAGTGGACTAAGGTTCAAGAAACACAATTGGTCTAGATGGTTCAAGGGTTGGGTTAAAAACTTGGAGAACCGGGTTCAAAATTTAGTAGCTACAAATTAAACTCCCATTAACTTTAAATGTATACTCATAAAGCTCCGGGATTAAGAAAGAGATAAAGGAAGGCTTAAGAAAGGTTACCTGCCGACTCTTCCACTGCCCGTAGGCCTTGTCCCTGTCACACCTCGCAAAAGTTACCTGCCGACTCCCCTCGGAGAGGGCACACGAAAGTTTTGTGGCCTCTTTCCCCGCACTTGAAACATCGGAGGGCACACGAAAGCTTTGTGGCCTCTTTCCCCGCACTTGAAACATCGGAGCGCAAACGAAAGCTTTGTGGCCTCTTTCCCCGCACTTGAACATCGGAGCGCAAACGAAAGCTTTGTGGCCTCTTTCCCCGCACTTGAAACATCGGAGCGCAAACGAAAGCTTTGTGGCCTCTTTCCCCGGAGCGCAAACGAAAGCTTTGTGGCCTCTTTCCCCGCACTTGAAACATCGGAGCGCAAGTCCTTGGCAATCCTTCCCAAAACGTGGTCCTCCCCACATTTCTTGCATCCAAAAGTCCTCGCTTGAGCTCCATTCTCCACCCGAGTTGATCCTTGTGAGGCTCTGAAATCTTATCTCGGCTTCTTGAAACTGTGGGACCCACTTCCTTCATTTCTCTTCTTGGCGAACTCAAAAGACCCTCGCTCAAGCTGTTGCACTCGATACAGATCTGCTGCACTCAGATAGGCTTCATTAAGCGTCCTAAGCTTGCTCACAGTTAATGCCTTCCGGGCTTCGTAGTTGAGCCCCGCTACAAACTTCTCCACCTTTGCCAGCTCGGTGGGAACCAACATCCGAGCAAAACGGCCTAGCTCAAGGAAGCGCTTGTGGTATTCAACCACGGATGACGACCCCTGCTGAAGATGTAAGAACTCCTCGTACATGGTTGCTCGGACATGAGATGGGTAGAACCTCTCCCTCATCTTGTCCTTCAGGGCTGACCAGTCAAAACCAGGCTCTTCTTGGCACGCGAGACCCACGTGCACCCACCAGAGATCGGCCTCGTGTCTGTAGTAGAAAGAAGCCAACTCCACACGACGATCCTCAGGACAACCCACAACAGCGAAGAACTTATCGAGGGACCGGATCCATTCCTCGAGCAACACGGGATCTTCCTCTCCGGCGAAAATTGGCGGCCTATGCCCCGAGACTAAGCATCTCACATCCCCATTCCCGGCAGGCGGCGGCGGAGGAGCAGGGTTGTTGTTGTGCAGAAGGGCTTCACTCAGCGTCTGCATTGTTTGTGTCAAATGCTGTAGGTTCTGAGCCAGCTGCTCGTTGGTCGGCGTCTCGGGAGTACGGGTGCGATGACGAGACGGAGCCATGGCGAGACTTCTAAAGAAACAACACGATTACGGTAGGCACAAACAAACAATGCACCCTTACCCGGCGCTAACGGCGAGAACGCTAAAACTAAACAGAAACAACGAAACAGACATAACAAACAACAAACAACTCACAGCTCACCACGTGTCTTAAGAGTCCTAAGTCCTAAACACTTAGGTACTTAAGGGTCATCTTATGGTCTCAAACCACACTTAAATTCCTAAAGTCCAAACCTAACATCCTAGGCTCAAACCTAGGCTCTGATACCAATTGTAAGACCCCCGATTTTAACCACATTTTAAAAACTTAAATGCATAGGAAAACATCTAATCATCAAGACATAAAGAAACGGAAGATATATAAAGTCGGGACGAGTTATGTCACACCTATCTCAAAACATAGGTGCACAGGCGGGAAAACTAATCACTTTAAACAAGTCATAAAGTGTCAAGGCACACAGGCCAACAAAACATAACGTCTACACATGACAGCTAATCTATCTAGCGATCCACGTCTAGCGCTCTCAGACATCTACTCAAAACCTGTAGAACAAGGGAATAAACATGGGGATAACACCCGGTCAGCGAATATTGCTGGTAACCCATCAATACGCGTTAAATAACATATATAGATAAGTATAAGTCAAAACCATTTTGAAACGGAATACAATATATATCATTTCAAAGCCAAGGAGAGAAGTTAACTTCAAAGACTCATTCAACACTCTCAAAAGAAATGGAATCACCATCCTCAATACAACGATAAGACAACAAACATGAAGGACAATACAACTCAGGATGCACTCTACTGATCACAAAGTATAATACATCAAGACATGCTCATAAGCAAGGAATTCACAATCACACAGTAGCAACTGCATGCCACAGTGATAACTACATGTCACAAGTATCATAGTTCCAACCTTATGGCTACCCCCGGCCTTATTTCAGTTCCAACCTTTACCTCCTAGTGACACCTTGTACTTCTGAGTCCAACCTTGTACCGCCAGGGACCGTCGTCCCCCCTCCAACAACCACCTTTTAACCGCCGAACACTCAGTACACGAGGGTACCATTAATTTCATTCACATAGCCTCCAACATATGAGCCAAGCTCAAATAACACACCACCAATTTCAATCATAGTCACACAAGATTATCATCATTACCAAGAAGACTAAGGCTCAACAATAACCTTAATCAAGTATCAATCAAAGGGTACAACGATTTACATACGTTCACATCATAGGAATCAATCAAAGATCACAACAAAGACATGAGACCATACTCAACAACAAAGGATCACAATCCAACACCAAATGATTGTCAACACAAGTTTCCAATCCCAATAGGAAGGAGCAAACCACACATACTAGCGTTTCAACATCAAACTAGCATGCTTGTCAAACGGGTAAACCAAAAGTAGTTCCAAAGAACATTCAAGACTCACATTAGTCCAACGAATCACAATATCGGACCCTTAGCAAGATTCAAGACACCAAATCCTACATGGATTCCTAACATACCGTTCTAGACATACGAAACATCAAGAAGACTCACAAATAGCCCAATAAAACAACATCGGGAGGTCAAAACATCAATACCGAGACAAAAGAATCACGGGGAATAAATCCCCAGCCAACCACCACTGTGTACCCCGCTGGTGGGACCACGGGTGGACAACCACCCGCGGGTGGGACCACGGGTGGACAACCACCCGCGATTCCGCCCGCGGGTACCACCTGTACACCAAAAATATCCCTTTGGGGATTTTCAACAACAAGGCCAAGTTCAAGTCCAAAACACCCAAAATCTCACACACAATAACAATATGACTTGAACCCAAGAAATAGCCAAGCAATGGCATTCAAGAACCCTAAGAACAAGCTCTAAACATGCATCACCACAAGACAATGCATCAAATCTCACAAATCAACACAAGAATCACAAGTAGAAGCCAAGAATCATCATATAAGTAAGAAAATAGGTTTTGTAAAGCATGGGTTACCTTTGTAGCCTAATAACTTCCTCTTTTCACCCTTAAAAAAGCCTTTTCTAGAGCTCCTCTTCCACACCAACTTCATACACAAACCAAAAGACAACAAAGATCCTATCTTTAGAAAAAGACACCTAAAAGAAGGTTAAATACATCAAAGGACCAAGGATCTTACCCTCCCCTATGCTCAAGATGAAGAAAGTAGGAATCTTGGGAGAATATCTTGCAAGACTTGGATGCTCAAACTCTAGCTTAGAGAAGAAGCTAAATCTTTTAGAGAGAGGCTAGAGTTTTTGTGTCTTAGGTTGAGGAGTGAATGAAATGAAAGAGCTTGTCTAGGTTAGCTTGAATCACTAACCTTAGGTAGAAAGACATTCCTACCCTTACTAATGTTGGAAAGACAAGGGAACAAGGGCACAACTCAAGAAGCACAAGGTACAACCCTTTGACTTAAGTGACTAGTCAAAATCTAGTCCCTCGACTATTAAATTTCAGGATATTTAGGAATAGATTAGCAAAGAGACTTGGATTAATTCTTTAATTAATCCTTGATTGGTGTTTGGATTTACGGGGTGTCACAGTAACACAGTAGGTAACTTAACCAGTGGGAAAAATGCATATAGCAAAGGCGAAAAAAGTATGGAACGCAGACTAGTTGCTGCAGCACCCGCGGGTAGCAGCCCAGCCTTTTTCAGAGCTCTCAGTGGGGTCCAAGTTCTCACCTACACCCAACCGAGGTCATGGAAAGCCTATACATACTGGCTAACCCCTGGTCAGTTCAGGCGGATGGTTGAACATAAAATATGAAGATGGCCAATAAGTGGTTGAAAACTCAATCATACCTTCAGTGGACTGAGTGGTGACCTATCCAGAACCATGTCAATAGAAGGGCTCAACATGGTTCTAATACACTCCAAGTGGGTCTGTCTCAAAATAGAGGTGCGAGGTGGAAGAGGATTGATATCAATTGACACTGAAATTTTGATAAATAGTGATTTTTTAATATATTAGTATATTTGAATATATTTTGGATAATATTGATATTATCTAATTTGTTTAATTAGATAATATCAAAAGAGTTTTAGCTTATCAAAACACTTCTATCATACAGCTATCACAATAAAATGATCCTGAAAGTAAAAGCCCCCCCCCCCCCCCCCCCCCTCCATGAACTTCATGCCTGTTGATCCAAACCTCTATTGAAGATCAAGCCATTTGAACCGGCCGGATGCCCTTCAATGAAGAACAAACATATAAGTTCTTCTTTGGAGATCAAACCACTTGAATTTCGGAGGCCTTTTAATGGTGGAGTGTTCAAGGCATCAATTGAAGAATCATAGGACCATCCAGAAACTTGTACCCACACCGCATTTATACTCCTTGTAAACCAAAATTTTAATTTGAATTTTGACATATTTTTCAATTTCCTTTGTTCACAATATCCTCAAACACACTAGGACCTAAGGAGAATCCATAAATGGCAAAGGCACGCCCGCTAGGGGGATAGTCTGGAGATGTGGAGGGGCTAAAAATAACCGACAAGAGGCCAAAGTGGTGGGACAGGCTGACCTGGCAGAAGATAGGGTGGAAGGTGAGTGAGAATGGGAAGATAGTACTATGGGTGTAGACCAAAGCTGAGAGGTCGATGCCCTCAGGTGCGGATAACCCTTGGTAACCACCCATGAAAGGGAGCGAGCTGGAACCTAAAGAGGAGGACCACTCAGAAGAGGATGAGGAAGGGTCGGTGGAAGACAATGACTTAGAGGAGGAAAAAATTCTAGGCATGACACTCACCTGGAAGGAGTGCCAAATAAATAGATAAAAAAGTTAGGAGAACTGACTTGGAAGGTGCGCATCAAGGAGGTAAGCAGTTTATCCCGTGACCTGGAAAAGGTGATTAACAAAATATAAGTACCCAAAAAATGAAGGGAAGCGATTGCAAGCTGCGGCACTAGTGACCGACCGGTTAGCCGTGTAGATTGACCGGTTAATCACTGGTGGTCAGCTGGTTGTAAGAGGTGGAGGGTGTAACACCCCGTGTTACGACCTTTAATCCCGAATTATTTATTTAATTAATTCCGTTAATAATAATTAAAAAGGACTTAATTTGATTAGGATTCCCTTTAATTAATTAATGTGGTCCACCATGGATTGTGGTCCCTTGTCTAAACTAGAGTCTTAAGCCTATTAGGAATAAAGAGAGTAAACATTTTACTAGTCAGACTCTAATTAGAAATCCTAGACCTATATATCTATTGGGAATAAAGAAAGTAGGTCTTTACTATTCAGATTTTTATTAGGATTCTTGATTCTATAAATAGAGGATTAGAAAGCATTTAGAACCCACACCACCCATAGTTATATTACACGAAAATATTCCCGGGCGATTCCCCACCACCAAGCCTAGGGAGATCAATCGGATAAAAATCTTAGAGAAGAACCTTAGTAGCCAAGGATTCTGATTAAGGCTAAGAGGTAACCCATGTCTCAACAAAACCTATTTTCTTTGCTATAATCTTCTTCTTTAGCTTCTTCTCTATTGCTTGAGTCTTGATAAATCTTTTATGATGATGATGATATGATCTTGATGATTGATAAGATGATCTTATGTGTTGATCTTGATAATCTTGATGATTAGAAGAGGATCTTGATGATTGTGTGATGTTATTGATAAATCATGATATTCTTGATATTAAAGATAAAATCATGATTTTGATGATTTGAATATGATTAGAGCCCTAGGTTGAATTGGGAATTTCGTATTGTGATATTCTTGATATAATTGGGTGGGATTTCGCATGTTCGGGTGTTATTTATGTTTAGAAGTCATGTTAGGATATGTTCAATATGATTCTTGGTTTTGATCCATTATTTGACTACGTGGTGTCATCGTTTGTGTTTAAAAGTGTCTAAACATGGTTTCGGGTTCCACGAAAGATCCCGGGACCAAAATATTTTAAGAGAGTCAGTGGGGGGTAGGTGGGGGTAGGGGGACCCGCTGCCCA